TGCGTCTCAGAGGCAGCGTCGGTCCTGACCCACTGCCCGTCTCTGTCTGTCTACAGGTGTGCGGCGCTCTGCTCTCCTGTGGGAATCACACCTGTGAGGCTGTGTGTCACGACGGAGTGTGTCCTCCGTGTCCTCGCTCCGTCAGCAGGTCCTGTCCCTGTGGCAAGACCAGTGAGAAAGCGCACACGTGCACAAACGCACATACAGAGACACAGTAGTGTAGGAGGCTGTGAATAGTGTGATGATAACTGGCTGTTAGACTGTGTTGACAGCAGTGAGAGAATCAACACACAGGCCTATGAAAACACCTTAACAATAGTGTAAATACACACCAAACTAACACAAAACACACTCATGTTTGTTTCTCTGTGTGTGTACAGAGTCGTCCCTGCCGTGCACAGAGGAAGTGCTGCCGTGTGGTGACACGTGCGACCGCCCCCTGTCGTGTGGACAGCACACCTGTTCGATGAGGTGTCACCGAGGGAGCTGCGAGACCTGCAGACAGGTCACACACAGAACCGCAACAGGGACACACACTGAAACACAAAGTGAGACACGCTGATCTCCCCGTCTCTCTCCGACAGGTGGTGGAGAAGGAGTGCAGGTGTGGGAAGCACAGGAAGCTGATGCCGTGCCATAAAGAATACCTGTGTGACTCCAAGTGTCCTCAGACCAGGAGTTGCCAGAGACACCAGTGCAGGAGGAAGGTCAGTACCAGTAGGACCAACTGGAAACGCCAGCCCGACGTCCTAGAGACGCACAAATCGTCCGGTCACCATTAACCTCCCAGTGTTTTCATCAGGGTTTCACAGTAATCCTCAGAGCTGGAAGGCTGCAGCGCCTCCTGCTGCCTGGAGGACAGATGTGACGTCTTAACCCAGACATGTTGTTAGATATACAACAATACTCTTTGACTATGACTAGAAATAGTAACATCTACGCCTCCACCCTCTTTTAAAAAAGTCAAACTACTCCTCCTCATCATCACATGTCCTTGTCTTAAACTGGTAGCAGAGCACAGAGACGTCATGAACCTGGTCATACTGTGTCATGAAACAGTGATTTTACCAGCTGCAGGTTGGGGACGACCGCTGGTCTGGGGTCTGCCACCAAACACCAGTAGCTACCAGCTGCATGAAGCGACACCGTGAGGCGATCACAGAGGTCGAACCCTCAGTAGAGAGACTGCAGCTGTTTGACTGTGGACAGTTGTTCATGTGAAACCAGTGATTTCATTAAGTTAAAGAGGTGACACCTCCTCTACATCAAACACAACGAAGAGCCGACCCCAGAGGTTCAGCCTCTGGTTGTGACGTCAGCGTTCAGGTCTCCTCCCTCCTCTTTATGCTCAGACGTCTGGTGTCCGGTGCCTCTGCTTGTTTGTGTGCTGTAAATGTCAGATGATCTGATAGGAGAAGGTTAACTGGCGGTGTGTCGGAGCTGTGATGGGACAGGACGACGTTTCATTCATCTGTTATCACACCGGGCTATGGGACACATTTCAGCTTGTGAAGGATCTGGTTCATCTTTAATGTTCTCACTGTGTCACAGGTGTTTTTAACTTTGTTTAAACCCTGTTTCCCATGATGCATTGTGTTTCAGTGTTGCCCTGGTAACTGCCCCCCCTGTGACCAGAGCTGTGGTCGAACTCTGGGGTGTCGAAACCACAAGTGTCCCTCTGTCTGTCACCAAGGTAACACACACACACACAGGACGTCACATGACATCTCTCTGTCAGGTCGGTTGTAATTAGCTGAGGGAGTCACAGCTGGTGAAGGTCAAAGGTCAACCTCAGGAACGTTCTGACCCACAGCACCTCCTGTAGTGTGTGCACATTTGTTTCAGTTGATAACACACAGTAGAGTGTGTGTTTGTGAAGCTGTTGATCTCTACTTCCTGCTGGACGTCATTAATCCCCTTTAACAAAGACGTGTGTGTGTGCGTGCGTGTGCAGAATAACAAACAGCTTCCTGCGTCTTTTGTTCCACGATTGGATGATAATGGATAAGTTTTGCATCTGCCTGCTTCGTGATTGGCTGAATAGATTAAAGGTAATTTATTGTGCGACTTTGTGCTAATTGGCTGCTCTGACCTTTCGGGGGGGGGAAACAAAAAGAAGGTCGCACCACCCCGACGCATCAGCGCACAGATAAGAGCTGAGGCCTGTGTGTGTGTGTGTGTGGCCTGGACTTGGCGCTGTGAACTTTAGTTCACGTGATGAGGCTTGAAGCTAGTCACAGTTTGAGCTTCATACACTGCAGCTCTGCACCTCAGGACTGGTTTTATTATTGATTAATCTGCCCGTTATTTCCTTGACTGATCAGTTAATTGTGAAAACAATCCAGGACCCAAAATGTCAGACTTTCACTTCACTGTCACATAAGACAAAGACGAGCAGCAAATGTTTTCATTCATTGTGTATTAATTCAGAACCTATTTGACAGTTTTATTTAACTATCAGAATAGTTGCTGATTGATTTAATCACACGTTTGCCTACGTTGACGCTGATTAAAGAAGCTCATGGTTTTAAAGCAGACTCTCTCTAAACGCTTCAAACTCTAAGGTCAGATTCATCACAGCTGAGAGAAAACTCACTGAATAAAGAAGGAACCAAACCTGCTGGTTATTTTGTGGACAGACGTCTTCATGCCTTCATTACTTTGGCTGTGACCTCACATCTGTGTGAGCAGGTCTGTGCTGTCGTCTTCATCGTCTGATACAGAGCTGTGCATGCTGGTCCCTTCGGTCTGATGGATGACTAAATACTAATACTATAGTATTTATAAACAATGTTATAGAATTTAAATTGTGACAGATACCTGCACACTGTTACATTTTACAGTCAAACCTTCGCTACCTGTGCTCTGTCATAATAAACTCTGTGTGCCGATCTGGGTGAGACCCAGATCCACCACGGAGCCGGCGGCTGGAGCCTGACGTGGCTGTGGCCTTTATCAGTACGAGCCGTGACAGACGAGCACGCGCCCACTCAGTTGTCTGCTGGTAAACACTCAGTGGGTTATGTTAATGGGACTCTGCATGGACGCCGTGGCGGAGGGGGCGTCAGCTGAGACAGTACAGACTCCTGAGATTCACGAGCTGCACTGACAGCGAATACACAAGGCTGTGAAGGCAACAGAACCGAGGAGAGGAAACTGATTCTTCTTTTAAATATACGATAGAAAAAAACCAAAGAGAAGTGTAAAACTTGTTTTATGAACATTTAACTCGTCCTGTTTATGGCAGAATTAGACTTATTTAGTTTGGTCAGTTATAACCAGGAACACACAGCTTGTCAACGCAGCACAGCTCTGGGTGATGGAGGAGTCGGTCCCCAGTCCTGGTTCAGTTCAGGCTAATATGTGTCTGAGTGAGATGACAAGTCCTCACGGTTCCTGGCCTGGTCACTCCAGAGTCGCTCTGTGTGTCTCTGCCCATCATTATCCTTTAACATCAGTGTAAACTTCTCTGCCCTGTTCTTTAGGTACTTGTTACCCCTGTCCAGAGTCGGTGGAGGTCAGATGTGCATGTGCTTCAACCGTCTTGGTCGTTCCTTGTGGGCGAGAACGGAGCACCAAGCCGCCTCGCTGCAAGGAGCCCTGCAGGTAAACACACACTTCCTGTTTACACTGTTGACTACATGCTGGCTCTGAAACGTACTGGGACATAAAGACTGGGCCGACACCTGCCAGCTGCTCTGTTGTCTCCTCCAGGGTTCCTCCGTCCTGCCACCACCTGACCAGAGAGACTCACCGGTGCCACCCCGGCCCCTGCCCCCCCTGCACGCAGCCCTGCCTGCTGCCGCTGCCCGGCTGCAGCCACACCTGTCCACAGCCCTGCCATGACCTGGTGCTGGTCAGGTCCCAGCAGGTAGGCCACCTACAGCAATAGACTGTTGGAGTGAAATGCTCTTCTTGTCCGTCTGAGAGGCAGGAGTTCACATCGACCATGTGACTGTGAACGTAAAGCCACAGGCAGCAGCTGCTTAGCTTAGCATCAAGACAGGAAACAGGTGGAAACGGTTAGACCCGCCCTGGAGCCGTCCAGCCCTTACTTATCCTGAAGTAGAAGATCAGTGTAGTGATGAACCCTTTCACACAGTGGGTGGGTAACTCTCTCTCACTGAGTGACTGTGGGATACAGAGATGGTTCTGGATAGATTGTGTTTGTCGACGCTCTGCCACCATCATCTTACCTCTGTCATCGACTCTATAACATTTCCTGTGTTCAGTCAGTGGAGATTTGTCAGAGTAAATGTTTGTCAAACCTCTGCACGTTCTCCTCTGTCTGCGCACGGCGTGTTTTCCTGATTGATGTGTGTTTTAGGTTCCGTTAGCGGGTCCATGGGAGCAGCCGTCTGAGCCAGCGTTTGTGAAGAAAGCTCTGCCCTGCCCTCCCTGTCAAGTGCCAATCCCAACGTAGGTCTCACACACACACACACCATTGGGGAGCAGGGTACCATGACGTCTCACGTCAGACAGCCAGCACTGGTTAAAGGCACAGACCGGACTAAGCTCTGGCCCAGTGCACGTATTCACACGATAAAGTCCGTTTAACAAACAATAAGATCGTCGTCTTGCACTCATTCGTTCCAGTCACGTGGCTGTTTGAATCTAAACAGCAGGTTTGGGTCTCACAGTGCGATGGCGTCTTGACAAATGAAAATGATTGGTCTTTGTTTGCACAATGTGGTGCCCAGACCCCCTACACACACACACTCACACACACACACACTCACACACTCCAGCTCCAGGGTGGTTTGGCCCTGTCATGGATCATTAGACCTGAGATTAGAAAAAACATTCTGCATGCTGTGTGTATTTTACAGCTGCCTGCAGCTGTGTGACGCACCAGCACCGGCCCTGTGTGTGTGTGTGTGTGTGTGTGTGTGTGAGAGAGCGAGAGAGACACTCTCCGGGCAACAACATGGCTGACTGACTGTGTTTGAGGTATTTCTGTGGATGTGTGTTTACAATATTTTGTACACGCTGAATTAAGTCCAGTTGTTTAAATGGCCGCCTGAGGAAATGGGAGCTTTTATTGTGAAGAGGCTGTGCAGGTCACCTCTGGCCAGTTGTGTAGTAACTATGACAGTTCTCTTCTTGTGCACTAGTGCTCATTACTGTGTGTTTTCACTGAGCTCTGTGTAGAGCTGAGTCTGGAAACTGCAAAGTAGTAAAAGTGAATATTTGGGTGTGATCAGCTGTTTGGACTGAGACATTAAACATGGGGGGGGGGGGATCTGTGGGAAGTAAATGAGACTGATGAATAAAGAGGGCAGAGCAGGGCGATCTGATGAACGTGATCAATGGTTTGAAGGGTCCTAAGGTTTACTCATTGACAGTGTTGTCACTCTGATGATGTGACGTGGATTAGAGTAAGGTTAGTGACTTTTCTAAGAATAAAGTGAATGGAGGAAGGAGCTGGAAGGGTCAAGGGTCAAAGCGTTTATTTGTCATATGCACAGTTAGGAAACGTGTTTCCCTGTACAATGAAATTCTTACTTTGCCGTCCACATGAATGCCACAAAATACAAGTGAAATATAAAGTAAAGTAATAAAATAAATAAAAGGAAGGCCTCGTTTATTAGTGACCTTTCTCAGATTGAAGTGAATGGAATCACATTATAAGAATTGTGAATGGGACAAACAGCCTTAGTGTGCTGAATGGGAGGTCTATACAGCACAGATATATATGATATGAGATATGTTTAGGATGTAAGTTAACGTGAATGAAGCTGTGAACAGAACGAGTCAGAGTGACACTGAGTCTCTGTCTTCTAGGGCCTGTTTTGGGGAACATGAGGTAAGAAAACGGCCTCCTGCTGTCGTCACCTTTTGTTAATGCCTACATGTGTGATTAAACTTGACGTTCTGATTCATCAGTTCCCTCCTGGTTTGTACAGCGCTCCCTCCTCTCCCTCGTCTCCCTCCTCTCCCTCGTCTCCCTCCTCTCCCTCGTCTCCCTGCTGTTTTCTTTTCCGTCTCCTTCTGTCGTCGTCCCTTATTAGTTTGTTCTTCTGACCTCCTCCTCGTTCACTCCCCTTCTCTCTCTGTTCTTCAGCTTTGTCCTTGTCGTTCATCTAATTTCATCACTCAGTATTCAGCCTGCTCGCTCCCCTTCAGACGAGGTCGAGAGATAAGTGTCTGTTCTGTGTGTGTCGATCAGGTCAGCCCGGTGCTGTGTCATCACCAGGGCCGATTCTCCTGTACGAGGCCCTGTGGGCGACCTTTGGCCTGCGGCAACCACAGCTGCATCAGGGAGTGTCACCTGGTTACCGACAGCAACAAGGTGATGACCTCGTTGGGGTGCTGATTAGAGTCACAGTCGTTTCATAAGATCTGTAAGCCTGGTCATTTTACTGTGATTAGTCCACCGACAGAACTAATCAACTGCTTTGATCATCAGTCGGTTTAATCATCGAAGTGAAAATGTGGAACATGTCCAGCTGCTCAAAGGTGAAAATGTTCTTTCAGAAAACAATGAAAAAAGCAAATCTTCTCCTTTGACAAAGGAGTTTTTAGTTTCTGTTGAGTCAGTTAATGAATTCAGCTTGTTTTCATGTCAACTGTCAAATATCACCGTGTTCATACACTGGACTTCACCTGGATCACTGATCAGACCAATCGATCACTCTCTCTCTGCAGTGCAAGGTGTGTGAGGAGGGCTGCTCCAAGCCCCGCCCCCCCCGCCGCCCCCCACCCCTCCCCCCCCCCCTACCCCCCA